GCCTGTGCAGAGCCGGGGAACAGGGGCTCGGCTCCTGACCCTTCTTGTCCCGCTGGGACGCATCTGAACGGGAGCCTGCCCCTTCCCCACCTTGGACCCGCGCAAGGCAGAGGAATCTCCTTCTTCAAAAGCAAATGGACTTGAGTGCAGCCAGGGAATTATCGCTACCATAGCCAGAAGCACAAGTATAAATCTAACATATACCTTGCATCCCTCTCAAATCCATGTAACACCTACTGCAAAACACACAGAAAATTAAGAAAGCAAACCCCTAGCTACACCAAGGTGATTTCCGGGGAATTTCCTGGCCACAGAGCTGGCTCTGTTTTCTCCCTCCCAAGGAGTCATCACCCATGGGGTGGCGAGTCCTTGCTCATGCCACTTTCTGGCTGGAGCCGGACACTTGAAAGCCGATGAGCAAACCATGTCGAGTGGCTCCTGACCCCACTGCCCCCGCTCAAGACACGCAGAGCCACATACATCCACCTTGCAAAGCTTCCACCAGGTCAGGCAGGCTAAGTGCTGCCAGATCCTGAAGGGGAGTAACACCCCCAAACAGGCTCTTTCCCCAAAATCTCTGCCACCAGCCTCCTGCCAGAGCAGCGTTTTGAGCACGGTATGTCACTCTGATCGAGAACATGACAATGCCAGGGTACCTCTCCTTAACGCCTTGGTGGAGCATCTTCCCGACAGCCTTACTGAAGGTCTTAAGGGGTAAGAAAGAGGAGAAGAGGATCTTTCCTGTTGGTCCAAGAGCAACATATGCCCAGAGGGGCTGGGGAGCCCAGATCATTTACCATGGCAGTTCATTTACCACGGCAGTCTTTCCCTCTCCCCCAGGGCTGCCGGTGCCCGCTCAGCTCTGGCGCACGGTGGTACCGCGCAGCCGGGGTGATGGGAATGCCACACTGGGGAGGTGGCGCGACACCACCGGGCCACAAAACTCAGGCAGGTAGCCTGGGAAGTCAGTCTGTGCGGTCTGTGTGCCCCTGAGAGGCAGCTCTGTCAGGACCGACGGCGAAGGGAGTCAGTTGCAAAGGGAAGCGGAGGGATATTTTGAGAAGCCACTGTTTCCAAACTGTTGGGGGCTCAGAGCTTGTCTTGAAACCGGCCAGACCTAGCAGATCATTGGAAAATTTGGGAGCAGTGTCCCAGGGAGGAAAACGATGCAGGGAGAGCCCCAGGACAGGCGTGGCGCGCAGGCAATGAATGGAACATCGCTCCCCGGCTCCGCAGCGCTCCATGCGACACCCGGCAGGAGCGATTCCCTCTCTGCGCCGGACTCAGCCCTCATCCCTGCGGCAGTGATGGCTTTAAAAAGGAACGATTCCAGTTTGTACATTTGCCTTTGGGAGATGAGTACCGTCTCCGAAGGAACTGCCTGAGGTGCGGGAAGGTTCCTCTCGGGTTGCCCAAGATATTACAAAAGGAAATGTGCAAAAAAACAGGAACATGTATAAGCGGAGTCTGGGCCGCCGCGCAGCACTTGGGCACCACCGCCTGTGTCGCAAACTCCCTTCTTTCAATATTTGTCCAGCACGGATGTCTCACCCGGCCCCGTTTTGCTCTCGGGAAGGGCACCTCCCTGCACCGCTCTCCAGCAATGAAAATGGATGAACAGCGCTTGACACGTCGCTATTTCTACTCACTGAGGGCAGTAACAAGTGTTAAGGGGGAGGGAGAAGGGGAGTGGACAACGAAAACACCTTTGGACACCTTTGGGTGCTCGCCAAAAGGCGCATGGCCTTTTCCTCGGAGTCAATGCCCACACGACACGTCT